TCTCTCTCTCTCTCTCTCTCTCCAACTTAGCTTGCCCTTTTCGGGACCTCTGCTTTTTAGGGAGAGATAAGAACTTTGTCCACAGCTCATGGGTTTGGGTAATTCACCACCCTGCAGGTTGGGTATATAATTATTTCATTTTACAGATGAGGAAGTAGAGGTTTGTCTACGTCATTTAGTAGGAATTACTTGTCTAAGTTAGTAGGTGGATCCAAATCTGGACCTTTCTGTGCAAAAATCCCCTAGGCTCTACAACTGTCTGTACAACCATTTTAACAAAGCCTCCCATTTTATATACAGGGCTCACCTGGAATCTCCCGATCTCTGCTTTGGATCTCATGACAGAGGAGTTCAACACCTGCAAGGGAGTTTCCAGAAAGATCTTAATGATTCACAAGCCCGCTTTTCCCATCTCGTGTGGAAGCAGTGGTGGGGCATATCCAGAGAATCCAGGATTTCACCGCTTCCCAGCGGCCAATGCTTGCACATAGCTTTCCTCGCTTCCTTCTCAGGGGAACCCTCAGAGATTCAGATTTTCAGTTCCATTTCATTGATGAGGAAACTGATGGGAGAGGCGGATTCACTGGCCCCAGGTCAACACAAAGCTATGTGTTGCAATGACTTTTCGCATTACACATTGTCTGGCTGTTTCCTCTTTGTCTCCTTCCTAAGAACGCTAAACACATCCACGGGAGAAGCCTCCTGTCTGCCTTAGGCATTTGGTACCCAGAGTCACACCCAGTCTTTGGGGACATGAGCATCTTTGGGGAGATGAGAACCTGCCACACGGGAATGGGCTGCCTTGTTCACCTCAGTGCCTAGCTCAGAGCCTGCTGGCTGGTGATCTATAACATTTGTCGAAGGGAGGAAGGAAGGAAGGAAGGAGGGAAGGAAGGATGGATCTAGACTATGAGGGGGTGAAGAAGGTGGTAGAGACGCTGCCTCTCAAGGTACGCTAGCTCTCAGGGCAGGGGCTGGGGCTGAAGGGTTTCCCAGGATTGAGAAGGGACAAGAAAGTTGGGCCCGTTTTGCTGGGCACCAGTTTGGCTCCTCACCTGGACTAAGATGATCTCATCAAAGAACTTCGCAGGAACCTCATGGAAATTCTGGAAGAAAATCTGCGGCAGACGGAAGGGCTGGTGGGCCGTGTTTCCTCCACCATGAAGCCCAAAGCCTCAGAGCACTGCACTTCTTCCCCGACTTTGCCTGCCCCATGACCTCTCGAAGACCCTCCCCGCCGGAAGCAGAGGCGCCTGGGCTGCTGGTAGGTTCTCAAGTGACAGGTGGGGATAGGGGTTCTCGGAGCAGCCAGCAGCTCAAGGTCCAGCTGGCGGCTCCAGGATGGTGACCTTCCTCCCCTCCTGCATCCCCAAGTCTGCTCCATTCACCTCCTGCAGGGGCCAGAACCCCTTTCTCCTGTCACTTCACTGCTTAAACCCTCTATGGCTCCTGAGTGTGTCTGTGACGAGACCTCAACCCATACTACAGACTCACACCCGTATCTCCAGTTCTGCCAACAAATCGAGCTGCTTCTTGCTTCCGGCTTTTGCAAACACACTTCCCTTTTCCTGAATCATCTTTCTCCACCCTGTCCATCTTTCCCTGGTGAAAGTTTTCTGAGTTTTTTCTCCAGGTCCTGGTCTTGTTACTGACTCACTCCTCCCACATCCCATAGTGCTTTTCTTCTCTCTGAAACTACCTGAACAAGTATTTATGAAGAGGCAGACAATGATGCTACAGTCTGGGCTCCAGCAGTGACCAGATGTGTGTGGCTGGGCCCGCTTTCATGGCTGCATGAACACTGCTCCCGGAGCCCTCTCAGCCTAGCCTGCCACCCTGGCAAAACTTGCGGGTTCGTGCCCTGTGCCCCCACCAGATCCCAGCTCCTCAATGCAGGGCTCCGAATTATCTCCTACTGTACCCCAGTGCCAAGCACAGTACTCAGCCCTCAGTAGGTGCTTAGTTAATGCTTGGAGAACAAGCACTTGCATCCACCCTCATCAGGAAACAAGAATGCCTGCTGCCTGCAGGGGGTGCCCGGCTTCTGATGGGCACATCTGCCCAACAGTCCCTGCTCAGCCCACCTCATTGAAAAAAGGGTTGTTTCCCATCTTGATCCGGGTGTGGTGCTGCTGGCCTGCAATGGTCACCTTCACCAGTGGATGGATGTTGTTGCCCATGAGCTGTCGGGCTTCAAACACCTTCACCTGAACCTACAGAGGGAAGCGTGTGGGGACCGGGCTCCCTGGAGACATGGGCTTGGGTCCTCAAGGACCAGGGCAGCCGGTGTAAGGAGCGAAGTTTGTCCCAGGATGCTGGGGCTTTTTAAGCAAGTGCAGGACAGGGCAGGCAGATATCTCTGAGAGATAACTGTGACCCAAGAAGGGACAAGACAGAGCTGCTGGCTGTGAGCTCAGGACGAGGCTATCTGGAGGGGCGGTCCAGAAAGTGACAGAGGTGGCTTGGGGCAGGGAATGGCAAGGCAGAAGTGGGGGCAACCACGCACCAGATGCTGACTCCCTGGCACTGGCAGGCTGGGGATCTGACAGAACGTGGCAATAATGCGAGACCCCCGGCTCGAATCTGAAGGACGTCGGTGAGGCATGGGATGGGCTTCCCACGGCACCATCCAGTCTTGGCCCTTCTTGCACAGTGACTTTGACCTTGCATGTGCCTCGCCTTGTTTTGTCAACAATCCGAGGGCTCAGGACAAGCAGGTCTGCGCTGCCTCCCCAGCACCGACCAGGGCCTGCTGGTCCACCACAGCCCCTCCTTATGCCCCCCTGGAGCTGTCTCTGGCCTCAGCCGCGGGCAGAAGGTACTCAGAATGGCTCAGGAGGAGCTAGGGACTCAGTGAAAACCTGAGGTCCTGAAGCTGGGTCTGGAACTCCAACCTTAGGTGGGGAGGAGATGCCCTAGGAACCCCACAAAGGTGTCAGGTGGGCCACGTGGACTCTTGGCCGGCATGGTCCTCACCTGAAAGTGCTGAGGCTTGGAGGACAGAGCCCTGTGCATCCCTGCAGAGCTGGGGACCAGGAGCTTCTGCTGGGCCGCTTCCCATGTGGTCATGCCCAGGGGGTCTTCACCACCTGGAGAAACACAGGCCGGGCGCAGAGACTGAAGCTTGGCAGGTGTGGAGGACTTCCCCCTTGCATCCTCTGTCCCCAGTGACACCCTTCTGACAAGGCCATGGCCAAGAGGCCCTGATGAAGCACATGTCCTCCCAGGACACTCCCAGGGCCCCACCCAGCCTCGTGACCATGGAGCCCTGGACCTGACTCTGGACCTAGGAGGGCTCTAGGCACCCTAACCTGGCTGCAGTCCTCCCAAAAACCTCTAGGGCTGGTTCTCAAAGGTCCCCAAAAGCCCATCCAGCTCTGCTTGAGAAAGGGCAGGGGTGAGGCCTGGGAAGGACATACCTGTCTTCTGAGTGTCCCAGTGGATCACATGTGCCACCTGGAGGGTGACAGTGCACTGCAAAGCAAAGAAGTTGTAAGCCAGATCCTGCGACCGTTGGCTAAGTCACAGCACCTACTCCTGCTCCAGGCTTGCTAGGTTGGTGCCCAGTCCTCCTGGGGACGGTGATGCTGTCATGGGACAGGGCCAACCACAGGCAAAACTGGTGAGGACAGAACAATGGATTACAGTGAAAAGATTTGGACAATAGAGCGGCCATATAGTGGCGGAGATGGCAGAAGGTGCGAGAAGGTGATGAGGGACTGGCCCAGGGCTGGGTGCGCTCAGCCACAGAGACCAGAGGCCCCCCTCGGGTCCCTAGCCAGCCATCCAGCCTCAGCTCTGTCCCCCCACTTCCACCCTCTACCACGTGCCAGGAGTGCAGGGAACCCACCCTCCTCGAACCGGTCCCTTCACTGTGCATTTGATGCCCTGCCAGGGTTCACCTCCCTCTTTGCCCAGTGGGAAAACGCCTGCCCTTCTGAGGGACTGCATATGCAGCGGGACAATGGCTGGGTCACAGATGGAAACAGAGCTCTGACCATAATCTGCGATCACCAGCCTGGAGCCTAGTCCTTTATCTACAGTAATCAGTCCAGGAAGACTTGTAGGAAGTCAGACGGCTGCGTCTCACAATTCAGGAAGCCAGACAATACTGATTAGACCCAAGTACCCCGGGCTTGATGATTTAATTAACAAGCTGACAGCTGCCCTAATTTTTGTCCCCACTACCAACTTAGGACCAACCAGAGAGAGCCAGTTATGCCCCCCAAACCAATCACATGGGATGCTGGGCTTCTAGTTACCTTACCTTTGCTGCCCTAAGCCAACAGCCTCCAACCAGGGGTCACCAGAAGCCTTCCTGGTGTCCCTTACCAAGCTTTCCCACCCGTGCCTGCCATTGAGGCTCTGCCAAAACTCAACTTTGTGTCCCCGCGCCTAGTAGAATGGTGGGTGCCCAGGAACAGTCAGTTCCCCTTCTCAGTAGGCAGAGGGCAGCACGGGGGAGTCAGGGGAAGGGGACCGGGGCAGGAAGCCGGAGAAGCTCAGCTACACCAGCTGCTGTCACTTCTCCAGCTGCCCCGCTGGGCCTGACTCACATCTGTGGGCATCATGGAATGGTTGAGCAGATTCAGGTCCTTCACGAAAAGCACCTCCCTGGGCTTTTTCACCAATGGCTTGAGCAGGACTGTGGCCAGGCCAATGAACCTGGGGAGGCAAAGAGCAGGTGTGAGATGTGAGCCCAGGGAAAGGTGCCTACCTCTGCCCCAGGCATCGCTTTAGCTAGAGTTGGTTTTCACTTAGAGGCTGAAAAACCCCTATGAGGTGGTGAGTCCAGCAGAGGGAGCAGGGCTCTGGACTGGACCAGGGGTGGACACCTGACCACAGCTGGTCCAGTGAGATTCTCTCTCCTGGAAACCTTACCATGGCGTGCTACACCAGCACCCTCCATGGGAGTTTAGTCTCTATTGGGCCCTAGAATGGGGCCCTAATGGGAAACCAGGGTTGAGCGGAGAGAGAGAAACAGAGATTTGGGACCTGTGGCTTCAGAACAAAGCTACAGCTGGGACCCAAGCTCCTAGTCCTAGCTGATTTGCTTTCCCAGCCTTACTATGCTTCCAGTGTCCCAACCCCTTTTTTCCTTCAGTGGCTGGAGTGGGCTCTGGTGCCTGCGTCAGCAGGAATTATGGGTTCACAACAAGAGATCCATCATCTGCTGATCCTTTGGTCAAGGAATTAGGCTCCTCCCATCTCTACCTCACCTTTCTTTCTTTTTTGAGCCCATGTCCCGAAGGATGAGTTGCAGGAAGGAGTCATTTTCCAGGGGGCGGCTCCAGAGGTGCCAGATGAGAGTCTGTCGGGGGCATGGAGAAGTCAGCAGCTTTCCTCAGCCCTTCTCAGGCCACCCCGCCAGGAAATGAGAAAAACTGGGGGGATGGGCTGGCACTGCATTTCTCTAAAGCTCAGGAGCTTCCCTCGTGTCTGTTTCCCTAAGAAGCTGGCATTGCCACCTTGCCCGAGGAATGGAGCGTCCCACCCAGATCTCAGCAGCTTGAACTGCATGGGCGGCACATTAGGAGCTAAGGGAACAGAGGTCGGGGCAGACGGGGGTGGAAGAGAGGCTGCACAGGGAGGCTCGTCTCTGCTTCAGGCTTCTACATTGGATTAGCTGATGGGCCTGGTTGGATTAGTTGATGGGCCATAGCTTGGTCCGTCCCCACTGGTAGGGGAGACAGACTAAGAACAGCTGTGGGCAGATGTGGTTTTTGGGTTTAGTTTGGTTTTGGGACTGGGGATTGAGCACAGGGCCTTCATACAGAGAATCATCCCAGCCTTTTTTATAAGTGCTGGGAATACTGGTATATGCCACCATGCCCGGCTTCTCCCAGGCTGCTGAGGTTGGTGGTAGTTCTGCATGGCTTGCCCGGGTGTGTCTACCTCGTTCCATGTGGGGTGATTCCCTTCTGTGACGCGCGTTCTCTTCTTGACATCTGCAAAGACAGCAAGGGTGCTTCAGTGTCTGGGCTTGAGTGGGGTCAGCCGAGGTGGGACATCGGCAGCTGTGATGTGGCATTGACTGCTTCTTTCTTTGAGGGTTTCACATCTTCTCATTTCTCATCACCGCATGTGGTGGACAGTGTAATGCGCTCATTTCATTTTCTTCCCAGCATTTCACAGCAAGTGAGGCCGTGTGACTTACTCTGGCCGTGGGACGTAGGAATGGCCCTCTGCACTGCTGGCCCAGATCCTAAAAATCTCCACTCAAGTATCCATTCTCCTTCCCTCTTCTCCATAGACACCCTGGTGGCCCAGTGGCAGTGGGGTGACTTCACAGCCACAAGGAGAAGGCAGGCAGGTAGGACAGCTCCCTGACTAGCACTACCTACCCAGGACTGGGTGTGAACAAGAGGTAAACTTTTGGGCCTGGGGATATAGCTCAGTGGCACAGCGCCTGCCTGGCAAGTGCGAGGTCCTGAGTTCAATCCTAGGTACCAAAAAAAAAAAAAAAAAAAAGAGGTAAACTTTCATTGTTAAATCCTTGAGATTTAAGACATTTATAATGAGGGCAAAACCGTTCCCCTGAGACATCCAATAATGGATGTAAAACTCTCTAACAACTAAAGTTTCTCTCCTTCAGAAATATGTTTAACAGAAGACAGGCTATAATCTTGCAAAGGAATTATTTTCTTTTCTTTTTTTTTTTTTTTTGAGATGGGGCCTCGCTTTGTAGTGCAGGCTGGCCTTGAGCTTACTATGTCACGTGGGCCAGCCTCAAACTTGCAGCAATCCTCCCGACTCAGCCTCCCAAATGCTGGGAGCACAGGCATGGCCATCACGGTAGGCATGTGGACATTTTTGTGAGGGGGATATTTCTCAGAGGAGAAGGAAAGATGGTGCCCATAATTAGAGGTGAGGATGGCTTCAGTCAGGGGGAGCAGCTGCAAGTCTCTTGCCTGGCCAACACATGCCGAGCTCCCACAGCCTATAAACCTGCAGACTGAGGACATAAGTGGATGTCACTCTGCAAGCCCAGAGGCCTAAACATTCCCTCTTGGGGCTTTGTCACAGTTTTACAGGCCAGGGGAAAAAATATTGAAAGGCATTTCATTCTCTTGTGGGAGCTGGAGTCATCCCTCCTTATCCTTGGGAGATGAGTTCCAGGACCCTCTCGCCAGTAAATACCAAGATCCATGCATGCTCAAGTTCCTCATATAAAATGGTGTGGTATTTGCATACCATTTACATATCATTTCAACCTACACACATCCCCCTATATAACATAAATCTTCCTAGGTGATTTACAAGACCTCACACAATACACATGCTATAAAACAATACACACGCTACGTAGTTATCATACTCTACTAGTTAGGGAATGATGGCAAGAGAAAGTTTTTTCCTGTTCAGTGCAGACACAACTTTCCCCAGAATACTTTGATTTTTTGTTGTTGTTGTTGTTGTTTTTGAGACAGGGTTTCGCTATCAGTTTAGGCTGGCTTGAACTCACTTTGTAGCTCTGGCTGGCCTTGCAGTGATCCTTCTGCCTCAGCCTCCCAGGTGCTGGGATTACAGGTATGCGCCACCACACCTGGCACCCAGAATACTTTGGATTCATGGTGGGTTATATTCACAGTGCAGAGCCCCCCAGTATGGAGGCTGACAGTACTGCGTCCTCTTTTCTTTTAGACCTGTTTTTTTCACATCCCACCATTTCTGGAAACCTTCACCTGCATGGATGATCTGCCTTTCACACTCTTGCCCCATGGACTTTCACTGTGATTTTTCTTCATCTCTTCTTTCCTAACTCCCAGCTCTTGGACATCTAAATATACTTAATCTCTCGTAAACCTTTCACCCTTGCTCATCCCTGGCCGTTTTGGATTTTTTTCCTTTATCTAAAAGGAACAGAAGTAATAAACTTTACCTCATTTACCTCGTGGCCATTGCCCTGAGGCGCAAACACCATTATATTAATGAGAAGGCTTTGCCAATTGTGAAGCTCCTTCAGAGCCTGGCCGGGTGATGCACGCATGTAGCTGAGGTGGGAGACCCACTGTGAGTTCGGGGCCAGCCTGGGCTACAGAGTGAGCTCCAGACCAGCCTGAGCTACGCAGCAAGACCCTGTCTCAAAATAAATAAATAAATAAAAAGGCTCGTTCAAAAGTAATTAATATTATTGGGAAGTTATTAGTAGCTGTTGTTGTGAGGGCTGGCCATGTGTTATATTTCTTTTTTTCTTTTCTTTTTTTTTTGTTTTTTTGTTTTTTTGTTTTGGTTTTTCTCTGGTACCGGGAACCGAACTCACGACCTTGCGCTTGCCAGGCAGGCGCTTTGCCGCTGAGCTAAATCCCAGCCCCTCTTTTTTTCTTTTTGGTCACACTAGGGATTAAACTCGGGACATGGCACTAAGTTACATTCTCAGCCCTCTTTTATTTTTAATTTTGAGACAGAGTCTCCCTAAGTCATTAAATTGCCTAGGCTGGGCTTGAACCTGTGATCCTCCTATCTCAGCCTCTCAGGTGGTACAGGCGTATGTGTGTGCACTACCATGTCCCACTTGTTATCTTTTTAAATCTTCATATCAATCCTATAAAGCAGGGGCCTGTCTGTCTTTCTCTTTCTCTCCCTTTCTTTCTTTCTTTCTTTCTTTCTTTCTTTCTTTCTTTCTTTCATTCATTCAAGATAGGGTCTCACTATGTAGTTCAGGCTGACCTTGGACTCACTATGTAGCCCAAGCTGGCCTCAAATTCACAGCAACCCTCCTGCCTCAGCCTCTTGAGTGCTGGGATTACAGGTGTATGCCATCACACCCAGCAGAACGTTTCTTCCTTTAAACTCATTTATGGCACAGCCCTAGTTCATGAAAGAAGGTTAACAAGCGTTACCCTCGTCTTTCCCACAACTATTTCCTGGAAAAATAAAATGAGAGGAAACGAAATCACAGCAATAAAAATGATAGACTCTTTTGGTGGTGGTGGGGATCAGACTCAGGGCCTCACGCGGGCCAGGTAAGTGACCTCTGCTGAGCCAACGGCCCTCGCCCTTGGAGGGCAGTGTCCACTTCAATGCTGTGTCGGCGCAGGGCATCTGTTACCCCGCAGGTCATCGACAAGCCCAGTTCTTCACCCAGGCATGTTGTCTCTTGGGGCTCTGTGCCTCCTGGGAGCCTGGCTCTCACCTCTGAAGTAGACGGTCAGGCAGGGTCTGGGTGGGGGGCTCAGGGGCGGCTCGATCTTGGCTGACTCCACGACCAGCCGCAGCATGGCGCCCGTCTGCTCCCCTCCTTCCCTCCGAAACTCTAGGGCTTCCTTCTTGGAACTCTTTGGTCCCAGGCTTCTCTCGGTGGTCTCGGGTGAGTGGGGCCTAGCAACAGCGGGGATGTCACAGAGGGGACCAGTTCTTGGTTCCGGAGCCCAACCTCAGCTACAGCAGGAGCGAGGACCACAGAGAACGGATAAGGCCAGTGGTCGGAGGTGACAGAAACCGAGCCACAGGGCTGCTTTGACATTTCCTTTCTCTTCTCTTTCCCATCCTTGCTGTCCTTTTGATAACGTGTTTTTCTTTTTTCCTTTAGACAGGCAAGTCGTCCGGAATGAATCATTGCCAGAGTCACACAATTTAGATGAGGAAATAAAAGAAAGAAGGCCATGGGAGAAAAGGTACAGGAAAATCAAGAACTATTTCAATGAGGTCACAAGGAAAGTCCTAATGGATAAGCAAAGCATATTTAGGTTTCCTTTTTTCTGAAGGACGCGTAAGTTTAGATCTGAGTCTTCATTTAGTAAAAAGAAGTCAGCTTTTTTTTTTTTTTTTGAGACATGGCTCACTATGTGGTTGAGGCTGGCCTTGAACCCACTATATAGCCCAGGCTGCCCTCAAATTCATGGAGCTCCTCCTGCCTCAGCCTCCTGAGCACTAGAATCATAGGCATGCATCACTACACCCAGCTGAGAAAATCAGTACTTTGATTAATGAACTCTTACGTTGGCGGGGTTTGTAAAAGTTAAAGAAAACCCGTAAGCCAATAACTTACTGTGACTGCCCGTTGCTCTGAAGGCCTCTGCTCCTAAGGATGCAGCTGGGTCACTCTCTTCTGTTGTGCACGAGATAAGCCTTTTTAGCTTCAGCCTTGAACATTGTATAAATTACACCTTCCCCAATGCTTAGAGTGAATATTTTAAAGTGTTGACAAACAAACTAATTAGCAGTAAGCTGCCTGTGCATTCTAAAGGGTACATGGCATTCAAAGATTAAAAACCAAATGTGTGATCACAGTGCTAACACTGCTTTCTAGACAGCAGATTTAAAGAGAAAGTACTTGAACTCTGAGCACACTGGGTCCAACCCTCGCTTGCCACTGTCCCTCCCTTCTTCCTTCCCTCCCT